GATCTGGTGCGCCAGCTTGTACAAGGGGCGCGAACGCAGAACTCCCTGGTGGTTGATGTAAGAGACCACCGCTGTGTTGTCAGTGCGCACCAACACATGGTGACCTCTTAGGTCTGGGAGAACTCGAAACATGGCCAGCAACTCCAGACAATTGAATGCCATGTCAGATAGCAACCACTCCACAGACCGCAGGGCAGGGTGACCACTCATGACCGCCCCTCCGTATCAATCTCCTTGGAGAAAGACAGGCGGAGCGTCGCGCCCTCTCCCCGGTGGGAAGGACCGCAGCGCGGGCTTCCGAAACCCCGAGAGTTTGAATGACAGAAAGCGACGCTGGCTCCGCCACACGTGCTTTTATAGCTTCCTGGTCATGACTTCATCCGCCGTGACGTCCCGTACAGCTATTGGACTGATTTCACATGTGATTCAGAGCGTGGGTCGCAGAAGGCTTTCCCCTAGCGTTCTCGACGCAGCTCGAGTTCCTGAAGAGGAACCCCTGGCTTTAGATTGCTTAGATAGATCATTCAAAATATTCTGACCATTTATTGAATATTAAATGATCTACAGTTGCAGTAATTGATATTTCTTACTTAAAAGAGCACCTGAAGCAAACACAAAGTTGCCAGAAATCACTGATGTTTGTGTTTTCTAGAGTATTGAAGACCCTGAGATCAAGCAGAGCAAATATCGTGACGCTTCAGAGGTGAACAAAACTGTCATTAACTTCATGTTTCAAATATTTGTCAAAATTTCACTTCAGCTCATTTCAAAGGAATATTCTGGGTTTAGTGCAGATTTTATGTACATCTATCTCATGTATTGTGATACTGTATGAGGTTTTTCTTTCTTTCTAAAACGGTGACAAGTCCAAATAATTTTCTGCACCCAATTTGTTTTGATTGTAGTGCATTTCCGATGATTTTTCCCAACTAAATTTCTAAAAATGTTGCAGATGAAGAAGCCTCCTCTTCTTAAAGTGCCGCCGCTGTCCCACCGAGACTCAAAGGTGAGCGACTGCTTTCTTCTGAACTCACCGTTTAAGCGTCAGGATTTTGATGATATTGTCATGGATGTCTCCAGAGCTTGGAAGATGACGAGTTCCCTCGGAAGGGTGCAGATCTGTTCAAGGCGGGAGACGTGGAGCTGGCGGAGGACGCAGGCTGGGAGGAATACACGCCGGTAACTTTATCATTTCATTTTCATGCTTTTGCTGGCGTTCATAAAAACACGTTTAACGCTGAAGGTTCCTCTCGCATAGGATAATAAATCACAGAAACCTAAAGAGACTGACACACATATCGCAGAGGGTCAGAGGTAACTGTGCGTTCGTCTTCAACGACAGTCAACTCATTCACTACATCTTCATCTCATATCATCTGTCTTCCTGCTTTTCTCAGACTGAAGACATGAAGGAGTTTCCTGAAGAGTTTCTGGATCCTCCAGGGGCCACGGCTGGAGACCTGTCTGATGCTGCTAAGGTACATATCAATGCTAATTTTTACAAAGATATATACATTACCATTCAAATCTTTGAAAGACGTGTCTTCTGTTCACCAAGGCTGTATTTATTTAACCAAAATATATATATATATATATACTGTATATATACATATAGATATAGATATATATATATATATATATATGAAATTTGACCCTGGAGCACAAGTTGCATAAGTAGCACAGGTATATCTGTAGCAATAGTTAAAAATACATTGTATGGGTCAAAATTATCGATTTTTCTTTTATGCCAAAAATCATGTTCCATGAAGATATTTAGTAAATCTCCTACCGTAAATATATCAAAACTTAATTTTTGATTAGTAATATGCATTGCTAAGAACTTCATTTGGACAACTTTAAAGATGATTTTCTCAATATTTAGATTTTTTTGCACCCTCGGATTCCAGATTTGCAAATAGTTGTATCTCAGCCAAATATTGTCCTATCATAACAAACTATACATCAGTGGAAAGATTATTTATTCAGCTTTCAGATGTTGCATAAATCTCAATTTCGAAAAATTGACACTTAAGACTGGTTTTGTGCTTCAGGGTCACAAATAATATTTCAGTTTAAAACAGTTGTTCTCTCTGTGAATATCTGTTAAACTGTAATTTATTTCTGTGATCAAAGCTGAATTTTCAGCATCATTACTCCAGTTTTCAGTGTCACATGATCTTCAGAAATCATAATAATATGCTGATTATTAGAAAACATTGCTGATTATTAGAAACAATTCTGATTATTATCAATGTTGAAAACAGCTGTGCTGCACAATATTTTTGTGGAAAGCGTGATCTATTTTATTTTTCAGGATTCACAGCTGAATAGAAAGTTCAAAAGAACAGCATTTATTTGAAATATAAATCTTTTGGAACTTTATAAATGTATTTACTGTCACTTTTGATCAGTTTAATGCGTCCTTGATGAATAAAACTCTATATTTCTATATATATTTGATTACATGTGCATATATGAAATTTGACCTAGATAATCGGGCACAATTTTCTGGATATTATTATTGTTAATAAAACGTATGAAATTGTAAGGCTGAGTGGATGTCGGCTCAGATGGACATGAGACGACTGAGAGTTCAAGAGGAAGAGCAGCAGCAGGAGGAAGATGATTATGAAGGGGTAATCATCCTTCCTCATCATGTTTACTTCATTCCATTCATTATGTCTGTAGATTCTGTTTATGCTGCAGCATGTATTTGTGCTCATTTCCATTCATTTTCTCTTGATGTGATGTTGAGTCTGTTATCATAAATGTGTGTTTTATTGGCAGGACACTGACAGTCTGATGGAGTGGTGGAATACAGTCGAGTGTGAGTTCATTAAATCATCCACTAATTCACCACACACACATCAGATCTGAGCCCTTTAACATTCAATCTTTGTGTTTTCAGTTTGGGATGAAATACCTGCTAATGAGACGATCAGCACTAAAGAAGAAGAGACCATGTAAGACTTCATCAATGCTCTTCATGCTGAAAACAAAACAATCATGTTCTTCCTCAGTATTTTTCTCTTGTTTTCTATTTTATCAATGATTGATTGATTGATTGATTGATTGATTGATTGATTGGATGGTGGAAATTGTCTCAACACTGTAAAAAAAACAAAAAAAACAACAACAACGATAATCTTAATTGGTATTTTGGTGGGGGTTTTATTCCACTTTGAATATCTAAAAAAATTTAGCATCAAGATACATTTACTGAACTAAAAAATACTTCAAATATTAAGTTTTGTTTTCTTGAAAAAATATCAAAAGTAAGTGCCTTTTTACTTTACAAAGAAAAAGAAGCTTAATTTGAAGGCAAAACAAGGTTATTTTTCAGATTTTTTTTCTTGTTTTAAGTGATATATATATATATATATATATATATATATATATATATATA